GGGACGTAGGCTCATATATTTTTTAGAAATATCATAAAAGGGTCCAGAAATATGAAAAGAACGCGGAACTTTTGTTTTTGTATTACGAATTTTAACTAACAGAATACTTCCAGTATCCTTTACATCGCTTATTGTTAAATCTTTTAGTTCGTGGCAACGACAAGCGCCAGATAACCCAAAAACTAATGCTACCTATAAATATTAGTAGTTATGTATTAAGTATTTGTTAAAATAAAAATAATAATTCCGTTACCTTTGTTATTAAATATTTCTAGTCAGGTGCATTCTTTAGGAAAGTCTTTATGTCTTCAGGCGAAAAATTTTTGGATTTTTGGCTTTTAAAACCATCAGATTTTCTTTTCAAAAGCGAACGTAACTTTGGATATTTACTAATATCGACATCATTTTTAACAGAGAGTGTAGTTCTTAGCATCGAATAAATGGACCATAACGTCGACGGTTTAAAATTTGAACATATTTCTCCAAAGTATGCTAGTAGTACAGTTTCCGAAAATGATTTCACTTAATTTTTTTCTCTCCAGTCCAAAAATTTGATATAAATTTCTTCATATATCTTTTTTGATTTGGCCGGTAATAAATCTGAAGAGGTTTCTTCAGCTTTAAAAATAATTTCTGGGGGAGTACAATCGCTTTCTGACTCAGACATCATGAAAATGTGTTAAATTTAGGACGAACTGAAACTGACAGTTCTCAAAAGTGATAAAACTTCAAATAAACAAATGAAAACCAGGAAACTAGATGTAGATTGGTTTAATTTGCACTATTTTTATACATTTTTATTTTATCTTTAATTCATTAAAGTTTAGGTAAAAACGCATATAGAATTTAAAGAGCATCTTTTTATTTCATTATTAATATTTATAAGCTGCCAAAATATTATACGAGGCGACTGATATATGAAAATATGTAACAACTTACTTTCGTCACTAGAGACGAAAGTAAACGTTATGGGATTTTTTCTCACTAGTGACGGAAATCAAGTTTTCGCTGAAAGTATCCTGTGGCGAAAGATGTCTTTTTGTAAGAGTTCGTAGAAAAATGCTATTATTTATCGATTCTATACAAGAATAACCCATTTTAATGTATGTTTAATCTCAATAACTAAAAAATATACTGACAATTAGTTTGACAGAATTGCCACTTATTTAAAATTTTAAAAATAGTAGTAGATGGATGACCAACAAGTATTAGAAATTAAAAATTTAAAAAAACCGACTTCAAAAACGTGCAGATGCCGTCACCACATCTTAACCAAATTTATATGGGACCACCCCTGAGGTACCCCTTTACTAACAAAAAAAGAATCATATGAATCGGACAAGGTGGTAAAGCATTATCGCTAAACATACATAAAAAATTAAGAGTTTGAGGATTTTCTCATGGACCCAATTATTAGATGTTGACCAAATTTATATGGGACCACCCCTGAAGTAGCCCCTTTCTAACAAAAAAAGAATTATTGAAATCGGACACCGTGTTAAAGAATTATCGCTGAACATACATAAAAAAAAAAAAAAAAAAATATCGCGACGAATTGATAACCTCCTCCTTTTTTGAAGTCGGTTAAAAAATGAACTGTGTTTGGTGGATTTAATTTTTTTGAAGTGTTCTCACTAACTAAAATAGATTTGAAATATATTCATTCAGTTGAACGCAATAGCATACTTTTTCGTTTTGTAGTCTGTGCATAGATAAGCTATTATCCATGTGGATGTAGAAAAATTAAAATAAATCTTTTTTTACTTATTTTCTTTTATACATTAGTAATAGTCATAAATTACACAGGCCTGCGTTTAAATACTCTGCAAAATGTGAATTGGACTTTTCAACTGAAATTGAGTATTTCAGTGACGCTGATTTCAAATCGGCTTTTAGTTTTTTTCTATCACGTAAGGTTTTTAAACAAAATACTACAAAAATGCAAAAAGTAAAAATATATTTATAGATACTTAGGATAAAAAAGAAAATAATAAACCAAGAATAAAACCGGGGAAGTAGTTAAAAAATAACATCCTTTGTTTTCTTGAAAATTTTTCTCTTTCTGGAAAAGCTTCTTTTTGTTCTTTTTCGTGCATATTCTGCGGTAGGACGATCCCTTTTAAGCATCCAACAGTAGTCGGCCATCATTTTGATATCCCAGCGCCCTTGATATTGCCGTTCCATCTCTTTTATGTCCTGGTGAAAGCGCTCTCCTTGCTCTTCACTGACATCGCCAAGATTATCCGAAAAAGTCAAGATAAGCATGTAGAAAATGAATTTTTAAGCTCATGTTACAGCCTAAATTTGTCCAACATATTTGCAACAATACTTTCAAATTCAGGGTCTTTGTAGCTTCCTAGAAACTTATTTATAACTTGTTTAAAAGCTGTCCATGCTTCTTTTTCGACTTCCTGCATAACCGTCTCAATTTCATTAGTTTTAATCAACCTTCTTATTTGTGGCCCAACAAAGATGTCTTCTTTTTATTTAGCTTCAGAGAGATTCGGAAATGTTTCACACAAGTTTTTAAAGCAACCACCATTTTTGTCTAGAGCTTTGACAAATTGTTTCATCAGCCCCAATTTTATATGTAGAGGGGGTAATAAAATTTTCTCGGGATCAACTAGGCTTTCCCGAATTACGTTTTTGGAGCCAGGCGTTAAATTTTTTCTTGGTGACTAGTTTTTTTTGGTCCAGTGGTCATCTTTTGCTCTACTGTCCCACTCGCACAGGAAACATGGGTATTTCGTATATCCGGATTGTTGACCTAAAAGCAACCTTAAAATTTTAAGGTCACCACATAGAATCCAGTTATGTTGTCTGTAGTTTATTCTTAAAAGCAGTACCTCAAGATTTTCGTAATTTTCTTTTAGCTGAGTAGAATGACCAACAGGAACAGATGCATATAAATTGCCATTATGAAGTAGAACAGCTTTAAGACTTCTCTTTGAAGAGTCTATAAAAAGTCTCCACTAGACAGGATTGTATTCAGGAGCACCTAGGTGAATAACCAAGTCAGATACATTTTGACAATATACAAGTGAACCAGCTGCGGCAAAGTAATTGACAAATTCAGCCTCACGATTTATATACCAATAAAATGTAGTACCTGGAGCAAGTAATTTTTTTTCTTTAAGCCTTGATTCTAAAACCTCAGAGAGGTCTTTTGAAAGTCCCAAATCCCTGACTAATTGAGAAAATAGCTGCGGTTCACGAATTCCTGAGGTAGATGCCTCAAAAATGTCAATTTCTGAATCTGTTGAAGATTCTGATTCGATAGACTGTAATACTTTAGGTGGAACAGGTACAGGTATATCAGCGTCATGTGGAACTGGTCTTATTGCAGACGAAAGATTAGGATAGTTAATATACTTTAGAGATTTTGTGTTATGACCTTTAATATCACAAAGACAAATATATCAGTCGTTAATGTGATTTTTAGGTTCTCTCCAGACCATTGGTATCCCAATCGGTAGGGCTTTTCTTATTCCTTTAAACCAATGCCTCAAGGCTTCTTCGCAAATCTTGCAGATAACATGTGGCGCCCAAGGTTTATCTTGATCTCCAAGTCTGACTATAAAATATGCCAAAATAAGCATTTTTTACGAAATCAGTAATGTTTCTTTTAAACTTATTGTTACGATTTTAAGCCATGCCTAGTGCGACGTTTTATCTCTGAGGGAAATAATACTTATAGCGCCTCTATACAATACTACCTTAATGTGTAAACTTCATTAGATGTCGTCGGATGTGAGTGGAAATAAATTAATAATAGAAGTAGTGATTTGGAAATGTTATGTCAAAAATAAGGTACTTTTTATATTTCTTTTTCGTTGATTTAGGTACATGATCCTCATAAGCCCTTACTACCTATATAATTAAAAAAATAAGTTAATTTATGAGGTTTCCGATGGTATATTTAAAAAGTACTCTCCTTCCTAAAGTCTAAAATGTAAGTTTTGTAAGAAAAATTGTATTTTAAAAAATAGGGCGGATTCCCAATATTTACCGAAAAAAGTGTAAATTTAAAGAAATTCGGCAAACAAGCTTTTTATAACAATTAAAAAGTTTTTCAATAATAAGTTGGTAATGTGGAGACTTTTTATTTGTATTTGTAGCGGCTTAAATTTTGTGTTCAATTTGCTTTGTGCCAAAATATGTATAAACCGCTCACATTGCGAAACGATTCGGCAACATAGACACAATTCCCGCCGAGCAATAGAGTAGTAATTACTCCGAGACAATTCCGCAGAGAAGACATAATACCACGAATAAAAAATCAAGAAAAAATCTGAACTGGTGATACTTTGGAAGAACTGACGTAAATATGACATTAGCAAAGCCTCCTTGATATTATTACTTCAAAACAAATATTCCTGGGCCCACTTTCCTTGAAAGTTACCACATTCTTGATCAACTTTTCTGTATTTACTATTTGAAGGTCCAGACATATTTTAGTAAAAAAATTTTTGAGATCTCCAAAACAATCAAAACACTAACCCAATTTTTGCACTACCAAACTGGTCTTAATGCAGACTAGCAGCAATCACGGTTGCTTTCTCGGGTGGCCTAAGCATCTCGAATATTCCTAAATTTACTAGCTCCTTCTTGTAGATCACTGTTCTACATTTTTACCGACTTCAAAAAAAGGATGAGGAGGTTCTGAATTCGTCGGAATATTTTTTATGTATGTTCAGCGATAATTCTTTACTAACATGTCCGATTTCAATGATTCTTTTTTGTTAAAAAGGGGGCATCTCAGGGGTAGATTCATATACATTTGGTTAAGATCTCGTGATGGCATCTATGAGAAAATAAGAAAACTCAATTTGTAATGGTATCTCCCCGATTTTAAAGTCAGTTTTTAAAATTACTTTTATAAGATTTTACCTTCACAAATTTGGTGGGCCGTGTTTAAAAACAATGGAATAATTCAGTGGCTGGTCGCATGTTGCCCATGCCTAATCTACAGGGTTGGTACATAAATTACTATTTTGTAGAGTGCGTGGTTCACTTATATACAGGAACGGTCAACCGGTAGTGGAAGATGAAAACAACTTCCCTGATGGCAGCGAGGTAACATTTAACTGTATCGAAAGCATCATGGGTGAAAAAACTACATGGAAAATCATTTGTGAAGACGGAAGTTGGATCGGAAGATCTTTAAATTGCGGTAAGTCCACAGAACTTTATATTGCTCCATTTTAAATGAATTTATTGATTAAATTATTGCAATTACATATTATGACATAGTTTCATTTTTACGTTAGTTTATTAGACACTTTTCGTTGTTAAATTAATAAAAAAAATATTCGTTAACATTTCAATAATAACAATTTTATATCTATATAAAACAAAAAATAAATCAATAACATTTTATTGGTGTTTCCATATAATTAATTTTTTCATTGATTTGGTTATTTAAATTCTTATGCAAATTAGTGATGCTAGTGTTCAGGAGTCTCAACATTTTAGTGACTAATTTTGGAAAATCTGCTATTTTCAAAAGAACATTTTCTGGTTCTCTGCCCAGAATTAAAAATGTCAATGGTAATGAGCCACAATGAACAATGAATGATTCCATGGGTCGAATTCTTAAACACGTCAAAGACTTCCTTTACTTTAGCCTCCCTTTAATCGCCCTTAAAATGCAATTATTATACAAGAAATGCTTCTTTGTCTCTTAGGGTAAGGATAGTTCATTTAAGTATAATGTTACCTCAAATTCATCGAACTTCTTTTTGTTTCACAAACGTTTCTTTTTGTCAGAGAAATAGATAAGGTAATGTCCTAACCTTGAAAAGTAAAGTAAGCTACATAGGTGCCTTTCCTTTCTGTTTTATATAATATTGTCGTTAGGGAAATGTTACACAGGTCTGCAAAAAAAATTTAGCTGTACCTATGGGATATTTTTGGCGTAAATATTTTAGAATTTAAAACTAAACAAACAACTATTCCTTCGTTAAATTTATTTATAAAAATGTTGATTTCTGTCTGTTAGCCTTCTTAAGAACCCCGTAATTTTTGAATTACCTATTTATTCACCCTAAATTTGTGTGTTGTTGTTAAGTTACTGACTTATTCTAGTGCAAATAAAAGAGACATTTTTTTTATTTATTTATGAAAAGCAAAGTGAACTTGTTCCAAATATCATACATTTTGATTGGAAAAGATCATCTGGATCGACATCTACCAAATATATATTATATATACAGGATGTTCATTAAAGAATTGGCCAAACTTCAGATGTGGTTAGTTTGGACAAAAATAAGTTCACTTAAGCCAATTTACCTTAGTAGAATTTTACTTGCTTAAGAAGTTACAGCACTGAGCTACATTACTTCATAAAATATCGTTACATTTATACAAATTGTATGGATGGAACGATATTTTCAAAAGTGGCGTAGCTCAGTGCTACACTTTCGATGCAAAGGAAAAGATCTGTGTAATAAATCGAAAAAAAAAATCAAAATTAAAATGACTGACATAGAAAATGGCGATGTAATGTAAACCGTGGCCACGGTTCGTAGATAACACGGTGGCCTCATCACGGTTGCTAAGGACGCAGTGACGTCACGGAATAAAAAAGTGAGTTGATAGAAAATATTTTACTTGGTGTCGTACATTAGTTTTTTTAAAAAATCCAACATTTTATTGTTATTTAGTGGTGTTTTTCATTTTTGAACTTTGTTCTAGTGATATAGTTTATATAATATCGGCAGTTTGATTTTTTGAAAGAAAAGCTAGAAAACTTCAAGGAAAAATCATATAATGATTTTCATCAAATTTCAAATGAATTACTTTTTATATTTAAACATTTTAAATTAGGGTACGGTCTCCGGGCTGAATTCGGATCACACTTTGTTTATATCTGGAAATATTTTGAAATTTTGGCAAGCCTGTAGCTAGTCGTAGTGTTTCTGTTGCCTGGCAAAAGTCCCAAACAATTTTTAATTTTTACATACAAAAATTGTTAGAAGTAATAAAGGGACTGAGCCTAAACTGAAATTAAATGTTTATGGTAAGATTTACGAGTATTATTCTGAAAATATCATTCACTATTATTAAATTAATTGCAGCTTTGTCCATCTTACATTTAAAAGCAGACGAGATGGTTTATTACAAAGCATTAAACACAAAAAAGCAAAAAAGTCAAAGGGCTTTACTAAAAAAACCTACATTATTGAAAAAAAGAGCTTTCTACAGAAAGTTTTTAGTAAAAAGTAGTTACAAATAATTTTATAGAAGAAAAAAAGACCCGTTGGACTTGAGAAGAAACATACAATGTATATTTATATCAGAAAAAAATATTTTTTTAGTTTCTAGGATGTATGAACAGTATAATTTACTTAAAAAAAAAATAATCAAACTATTGTTTGATTGTTTTATTAAACAACAACTCAGTTTTATGATAATAATCTATAAATATAGGTACCAAATTAGAGAAAAACAGTTCTATTTATTGTTTATATACATACAATACACAGAGGAGAGAGAGGAGATATTATATATACTTGGAGTACTTTAATCAGGGGTTCCCAAAGTGTAACCAGCGGGCCATAAGGCCGTTTAATATGGCCCGCGAACAACTGGTAATATTATAAATAAAATTGTATTGCTTAATGTAAATATGAAAAAGGAAATTAGGAAATCAACCTCAGAAACTTTATTAACTAGGAAAATTGAGAGTCAGTAAGAATTAAAAAAGACCAGTGGATTAACCAATCAAAATAAATGATATCTGAGAACACTGCATGATGTAGTGCTTTTACTCAATTTCGATTGAATTTAAAAAAAATAATTTATTACCAGAGTAACATATCTGTTGGATTTGTAGGTTATTAAAAGTTGAACCCAACACAAATTATAAATACGGCCATAAGGCTCTCGATGCTAGCTGCTATTCATCTCCATATGGATTCCAACACTTCGTAAAAAACGCTGCACGACAACTTTTAAATCTATATATTTACATTATTTTTATTTAACTACTACCTACATGTTTAACACTGCATTAGGATTTCAGATTTCATTTTATGTATTCTTATCTTTGCTCAGAGAACTTAAGTGATTTATATAACAGAAAAGAATTGTCATGATGTTAATGAGAGCACGTCTGTCTTCTATCGAAGCACAGACTTGCCTGAAGTTTTGTGTCGTTTGAAAGAAAGAAATACATATATGGCTAAGTGACCTAAGTTAGTTAGCCTTGAGTATTTTGCGCCGATGTCGCTTGGCGAATACGATTATTGTCACGTACCCATTTGTTTACAGCTGCTTATAATGAACACCTGGGTTCACGAGCACAATGCCGTCTTTGATATGTTTTAAACGGTTTCGAAACAGTATCAATGATTTATGTGAAACGTCAAAAAGGTGACGAAAAATGGACAAAAATAGTTTTAGCTGTTGAAATATATATTTTTAATACAGAATCGATTGCATCTTCGGAATCAAAGCAAATGTTGTTTATAAAAATTATATTTATATTGTTAAATGATGTTTACAAGTGCCACGTAGGGTGAGAATTTTTTTTAAACATTTTGTTTTTTTATAACAAATTATGCAAATTTCACTCAATAAATTCCTCCCTTCACCAGGCAATTTTTTAAATTGTTTTCAAAAAAAAAAATGTTTATATCTATTTCTATTGTCAATTTAACTCTTTTGTGTAATGATTAAATAATAAATTTTACTTTTATAAAATAAGTACCAGATAAAAAACTTCAAAATAATGCATGCAATAATTTGTATTTACTTATAAAATAACACAGTTCATTTTAACGGCAGGTTTCTTCCACATTGTTTTCTTCTGAGAATGTTTAACAAACAGATTTTACATGTTGATTTAAACACAAATATGCTCCCGATTATTCGTGTGATGTCGATCAGTCATAAACTAGGGCCATCTGAACTAATGAAATAAAAATAAAGCGATCCCTAAAATTCTGGCAAACTATGCTTAGAAGATACCTCTGAGATGTTATAGAATTACAATGTCATAAAAATAATATATAAATAAAAATTTCCTTGGTTTATTCGGTCATTAAATCCCTTTTTAATTCTTTTAGTAACGCCCTTTGATTTTTTTTGCTCTCGGTTGTTTTTAATGTGTATAGAAAACCATCACATCTGCTTTTAAATGTAGGGTAGACAAAGCTGCAGTCAAATTAAAAATAGTAAATGATATTTGCAAAATAATTATTCTAAAATCTTAGCATTAGTCTTTAATTTCGGTTTAGGCTCAGTCCCTTTATTTATTCTAACGATTTTTGTGTGTAAACAGTAAAAATTGTTTGCCAACTGCAAAACTACGGCTCGCTCCAGGCTTGCCAAAATTTCAAAATATTTCGGGACATAAACAAAGTGGGATCCGAATTTAGCAATGTTTAAAATAAACCATTCATGCAATAATATTTCTCTTTATAATTCATATAAAAAGTAATTCATTTGAAATTGGATAGAAATCGCTACATGATTTTTCCATGCCGTTTTGTAGCTTGTCTTTCAAAAAATCAAATTACCAATTTTATAAAAACTCAAACACACGTGCATAGTCCAAAAATAAAAATATAAACACCACTAAATATTAATAAAATATTAGATTTTTAAAAAACTAACTATATAAACAGAATATTTTCTGTCAACTCGATTTTTCATTCCGTGACGTCACACCTTTTCTTAGCAACGGACGAAGAGGCCACCGTGTTCTCTACGAACCGTGAACTGTGGCAACAACTGAAAGACACCTAGTTTCATTGTAGTGTTACCAACATAACTCAACTACACCAAATTATAAAATCATTACTAATAATTTATTCATATTTTTATGTTACTTAAAGTTCTTTTTTCAATTATTGTAATAATTTTGTATACATTTCATGCTTAGCCCTATAATTAATTAACTTTTAGAATTTAAGATATTCATATTATTGTTTTACTAGGTTGGCAGAACTAACTTTAATTTTAAGGAACCTTCCCTGAATAAGGGGGATTTAAGGAAAGTTTTCGAATACATATTTTAAATAAGGGAAGGAATCTTCGTTTTGCTTCCTTTATAAAGTAAGTTTTAAGGATGATAATTTTAAGGATTGATTGTTTAAGAATTTCACTTATATCCCTCCATGACTACATGGCAAAATGGCAGAGAATACAATTTTATATCGAATGTGAGGGATCAGTCAGAAGAGCATAACCCATAATGCCTGTTTGCTTTAATTAGTTTTGTAGATAGAGAAAAAGCTAGTAAACATAACTGTTTTTTCTTTTTTTAGATTCAGAGGACCTCGGTGGTGGTCAAATATTAAGCAGCAATAGTACTTGCATATTTAGAAATCAAGAACCTAATGTGATATCGTTCTATAACGATCAGCAAATTCGGGAAGACGTGGTGGAGTTTCCCGCTGGTGCTGTGCTGGTTAGCAGGTGTACTGATATTGGAAAATTCGCTATGATAGGTAAAGTTTTGACTGAAAATCGATGAAATTGGATCACTTACGGGGTTTTTCATTTTCTTCTTTTAATATATACTGTTGAAAATACTGCCAACATATTTCAATTAATACATCAGCAGAGCCCAGCCCTGAATCCCAATCCGATCAATTAATTAATAATTTAAATACAAAAAATAAGACACCGCCCCTGTCTCGTTGAATTAATTAGAAGCAAGTCCAATCACGCTTGGCACAGGTAATATTATCAATGGTAATACAGTTCACCAGGTTGGTCATCAGTGCCGTATTTAAGTAGTGTAGATTATTGGTTTTATACTACATAGACCTAATTGAAAATTCTTAAAAAAAATGTTTTTTTTTTTAATTTTGACTTTAAATTTAAAATTTCAAGTTTGAGTTATTATATATTTTGACTTTAAACTCGTACTTTTGAGTATAAATTTAAAATTTTGACTTTAAGTCGAAATTATGACTTTAAACTTGAAATTTCGACTTAGTTTTTAAAACGACATTAAAGTTCAAAGTCAAAATTTCCAGTTTAAAGTTGAAATAATATATTATGTGGTCTTTTTACGCCTTAGTACAAAATTACTTAAAACTGTCATAAAGAGATTATACATTTTGGTCAAGGCCCGAACAAAAGAAGATGCATGGGAGGGGAGTGGGACGGTCTGAAACCGGCCTGTTTCGGTTTGAACCAAGCTAACGATTACTCCATGGAAAAACCACCAACGATTCTATTCAGACACCAACTTGGTCCGATCGCTCAATCCAATGAAGGGAAGTTGATCGTCTACCCAGGGACAATCCTTCACATGGAATGCCTGTGGATGAGGAGATTTGGTAATCCAAAATGGACGGTCAGTCATGATTATAGGTACGTTGATTCAATTAATATATATATCATCATATTTTTCTGAGTTATAGGTCACAAAAAACGTAAAATTATTTTTTTCGAACTGTTTATATAAGACATCGATTTTTCTGAGTACTTAACAAGTCAGAATAATCGATATTCCTGGGTTCCAAATCGGAAAAATATATTTTGCGAAGTTCTAAACAGCAAAATACGACTTTTCCGAGTAATAAGTAGGAAAAACATATTTCTGAGTTTTAATTCGAAAAAATCTACATTTCTGTTCTAAATATGGAAAATAGCTTTTCCAATTTCAAAATAGGAAAAATATATTTATTTAAACTCATCGCAAAAATCGATATTTCTGAGTTATACATAGGAATAATAGAATTTTCTGAGTTCTAAGTAAAAAAAAAAACGATTTTCTGAGTACTAAGAAAGAAAACAGATTTTCAAAAGTTTTAAATGGAAAAAGCCTATTTTTTCTTAACTATTTTTAGGACACGTCGACTTTTCTGAGTAACTAACCAGAAAAATCTATAATTCTGAGTTCTAAATAGGATTAATAGATTTTTGTGAGTTCTAATCTCAAAAAAATAACCTTATATTAATTCTAAGAAGCAAAAATCGATTTCTCTGGATTCTATACAAGAAAAATAGTATAAGGACAAAAAAGATTTTCCAAAATTATGAATAGGAAAAAAGCAATTTTTTATAAGCTTTTTATAGGAGAAGTCGATTTTTCTGAGTAACAAATTAGAAAAAAAGATATTCTAAATTAGTCTAAATTGTAAAATTTGATAAATATGCAAATTAGATTTTTATTAGTTCTAAAACGTAGAAATAGATTTTTCTGAGCTCATTACAAGATAATATGATTTTTGTGAGTTCTAAACCGGACACATAAACTTATATTAATTCTAAGAGAAATTAATTGATTTTTCTGAATTCTAAACAAGAAAAATAGATTTTCTTAGTAATAAGGCAGAAAAAAAAAAGATTTTTTCAAAATTATAAATGCAAAATTCCTGAATTCAGAATCGGATACATGAATTTTCGCTACTTCTGAACCGAAAGAGTTCTAAATAGAAAAATATATTTTTCGAGTAATAAAATAAAAAAATCCTGAGTTCTTAATTTTTCTGAGCTATTTATAGGAAATGTCGTTTTTTTTGAGTAACAATTTAGAAAAGTCGATATTTCTGAATTCCAAATTTGAAAAATAGTTTTTTGCATGTTCTAAATCGGCAAAATAGAATTTGCAGAGTTTTAAAAAGAAAAAATGGATTTTTTTATCAAATAGAGAAAACCGATATTTCTATTTAAAACTCAAATAGGTAAAATCGATTTTCTGAAAAAACGTAAAAAAATATCAATATTTCTGAACTCTAAAAAGGAAATATGATTTTTGTTAGCAGTAAATAGTAGAAAAAGACATCTCGGAGCTCATAATAGGAAAATTTTATTTTTATGAAGTCTAAATAGGAAAAACAAGGTTCCAAGAAAAAAATCGATATTTCTGAGTTCTCAATGGGAAAAATAGATTTTCTGAATAATAAGATAAAAGAACTTTTATCCTAAATAGGTAAAATTAATTTTCTCTGAGCTATTTATAGAAAATATCGATTTTTTAGAGTAATAAATCAGAAAACTCGATATTATTGAGTTCTAAATAAGAAAAATTGACTTTTCGGAGTTCTGAATAGGAAACCGATCGATATCTCTACCAACATTAATGAATTGTAGGACACCTATTGAGTTTCTTACATCAATATCCTCATTTTTAGGAAATATCCCGAAGGGTGGTCAACGGATCCAGGTCGGGATGCCCAATTGGAGTACAGACTTTCGATTTTTCACGCATCTAAAGACGATTCTGGACTGTTCACCTGTGTGACACCTGCGAGATATACTCATTCGGTAGAAATTGAAGTAAAAGGTAGTTATCGAGTTAAAAACGTTATATTTAGCGAAAAAATTTTAAATTTCAGCTCCATATTTGGTAAAAATATATATTTATTTCTTCACAGCCGTGCACTGTCCCGTGATTCCTCAACGTCGAGGTTTGACCGTGAATACTCAGAGCACGAAAATGAACACAAGGCTCAAGTTTTCCTGCATCAATGGAAACGCTTTGATCGGCGCTCCTGAAGTCGTTTGTCTGCCATCAGGAAACTGGAGTTCACCTTTTCCCATATGCGAAAGTAAGTATAAAAGATCCCCCTAACTTTCAATTTAAGAACACCAATAAAGCCTTTGGACTAGTGACCATTCCAACCAAAAATTTCACCAAAGTGGAGAGTTGTACTCTTCGAAGGTTTAAAAAACTATTGAATAATATATGATCGTTATTTTTAGGCATAGAATGTGGTGAAGTTGGAGTGATACTAAGCGAACGTCTAAAAGTATTAGTAGTGTCTAGGGAGGTAGGAGGGAGAGCTATTTTCAGCTGTGAACCCGGTTTTGGACTCAGAGGACCTTCTGAGACAATTTGCCAAGCTAGTGGAGATTGGGCAACGCCATTTCCCACTTGCGCAGGTTGGTTTTCTCGTAGATACAATACAAATGACGAGAAAAGAGAAACCAGATACGAGAACGAGTGTAAAATAGATTAAACTCGTTTTACTGGGTTAATGGGTTCATTTTTGAAATGCAAGCTCCCTCCTATCTGGTTTTCTCAATTCTTTTTATTTATTTGCATTACTTTTTCTTCAACTCAATAGTAAATTCTATACCGCGTAGAAAAAGTCTTAATACTCCTTTGATGACTGCGAAGATGATAATTGTTTTCTTTGCTCAGAGGTACATTGCGATGATCCAGTTGCTCCAGAAAATGGATACATCCAAGGTACGGGTCCTTATAAAGCCGGAGATGTGGTCCAAATTAACTGCAACCCGGAGTACATGATGGAAGGCCAACCGATCATTGCTTGCCAGGAGAATTCGAGGTGGTCTGGAAAGATGCCAAAATGTGAGAATACTATTTTTATGGTGATCCTTTGAAAAACTTTAAGAACGTTTAAAAAGATTTTGGACTAGATAGAGAACCTTTTAAAACCAGTTTCATAAACCTTTCTTACCAGTTCTATAATTAATTGTCCTCAACCTTCCAGAAACTTTCAAACTCTTTCTGTATTCTTTATGTAGTGTTTCTAAAGTTTCTAGAATGCTTCGGAACCTTTCAAAACTTGTCAAAATCATTTAAAACATTTAAGAACCTTTTAAAACGTTTATCAATTTTTCTCTAAAAAAGGAAAATAGAATTTTCTGATTTCAAAATAAGTAAAATAGATTTTTCTGAACTCTTTACTGGGGAAATCTGTGAGTTGTATACCGAAGTAAAAGATTTTGTTGAGTTCCTAACCGGAAAAATAGCTCTAAATCAAAAAAATAGATTTTTACGTGTTCGGCAAAATAGATTTTTCTCGAAATATAAATAGGAATAATAGTTTTTTGTAATTTCTAAACCGGAAAAATAGATTCTTTTGAAATTTTTATATGAAAAATAAATGTTTCTGAATTGTAAACTGGAAAAATTGATTTTCTGAGTAATAGCGTAGAAAAAAGATTTTCCAGAATTGTAAATAGAAAAAATAAATTTTTTTCTGAGCTATTCATAGGAAATATCGCTTTTTCCGAGATACAATCTAAAAATCGATATTCAAGATTTTTGCAAGACCTAAATTGGCAGTATAGATCAGAGATTCACAGGCTTGGCTTGTTTTTTAAAAGCTTGGCTTGAGCTTGACTTGAAATCAAGCAAAGCCTTTAAAAATACCAAGCCAAGCCTAACATTTTTTTTTCAAGCCAAGTCAAGCTTTTTATAAAAAAAAAGCTTGAACTACCAAGCTTTTTCAAGCCAAGCTTTCAAGCTTTTTCAAGCTTTCAAGCTTTTGAACGAATTATTTACATTAACTGTTTACAATAATCTATTAAAGTAACAACTAGATAATCCATATAATATTCTATGAGGAAATTCTTAGGATATGCGTTGAATAGAAAGAGACTCCTAAAAAGAAGAGGTAATTTAGGTATAAAATCTTATCACTATCGATCATTTATTTCTAACATATATTTCCATATCAGTACAAGCTTATAACAGAGCTAGCACTATTTGGATTTGATTTGGATTAAATTTTTACTTTCCTATCTGTATACAGATAAGGAAAGTATAGGAATCATGATTTTTTTCGACCTCCAGTTTTCGACGGATTTTTACGTTTTGGGGCCCCTGAATTCGTTTTGACTATTTTCGCGATGATGTCTGTGAAATAATTAGATTTTGAACAGAGTCGAAGCATCTGGGGGGTATTTTATAGAGGGTCGTTTTTATATTTTATGAAAAATGTTAGTTATTTTTATTTGGAGAAGAAAATTCTTCAAATTCTAATATTATTTTCTATAATTTTTGTTACATACAAAATTTTTCTAAAATAGTCCGTATTCGAGAAATTTTTCAAAATGTAAAAATTTTTTATTTTTAAGAAAATTGTTGAACTAAAAGATGTTTGCAATATCGATCTCTTTAATTTTTGTTTTTTATATGATTTCTCTAAAATGGACCGTAATGGAAAAATTGGAGGAAACGTATAAAATTTAAATAGTTCAGTATTTTCGTTGGCAATGAGGATATAAAGAAAAATGTTTCGAGTTAGATTTCTGTGGAAAAAAGTATATATTAAGTTAACCTCTAAATATTTACAGAGGTGCTACAATAGGTTGTACAAAATAACCGAAAAGGGCCTGTAATAACTAGATAGGAAAGTCATGTGTTGGACACATCAGATTTTTTCTCCTGTGGAAAGGCTTTTTCATAAGAATCCTTATGTTTACTTTGTAAATGTCTTTTTTAGCATTTTAATTATTGTTGATTTTCTTGTACACAAAGTGTATATTGCTGCTTTGTGAGTTTTGCTCTGTTTTTGACTAATTTTAAAAAAAATTAGAGACCTTTATGTTTTTAATTGTTTTCCGGGACTTAATTCGAATATGTTCTTTGCAAGGACTGCTAAAAGACATTCCTTATGCTTCCTCTACCACATATTCAGATCCGCTGTCTTGAAAGGGTTCCTCGATATGTGATATATTGGTGGCGTTCATATTTGTAAATACTTGCTTCGAAAGGCTAGCAGTGACTGAATTGAACATTAAAACAAAGGGCGGCGAGAGAACGGTTAGTAGACTTAACACGTGATCGGAAAGGTGGGGTAAACAGCTTGAAAGCTTGATAAAGCTTGGTAAAGCTTGAAAAAGCTTGGTAAACAAGCCAAGCTTGGACTTATAAAATCAAGCCAAGCCAAGATTTTTATTTTAAAAAAGCTTGATTTTCAAGCCAAGCCAAGCCAAGCTTTTTGTTCTCAAGTCAATCTACTTGGCTTGGTGAAACACTGGTATAGATTTTGCTGAGGTTTAATTTGAAGAAATAATCGACTTTTCTGAGTAGTAAATCTAAAGTTTCTAGAATGCTTCGGAACGTTTGAAAATCTTTTAAAACATTTGAAAACATTTTAAAACTGTTGTCAATTTTTCCCTAAAAAAAGAAAATTGCATTTTCTGAACTCGTTACTGGAAAAATCTATAATTATTAAATCTAAATCAGAGTTATAAATTTTTATGAGTTATAAACCGAAAAAATAGATTTTCCAAAGTTTTAGTAAAAAATCGATGTTTTTGTGTTCTAAATTAGAAAAAAAAAAAATTTTTTTGAGTAAAAAGTCAGGAAAATCGATTTTCGTGAGTTCTAATTCAGAAAATATTGATTTTCTGAGAAATAGTACAGAAAAAAAAAGATTTTTTATAATTGGAATTTATATTTGTGAGTTCTAAACCAGAGTCATAGATTTTTGTGAGGTATAAAACTAAAAAATAGATTTTTTTGAGTAAAAAATCAAAATAATCGATTTCTAAATTAAAAAACCAAGATAATCGATTTCTAAATTAAAAAACCAAGATTTTTGCTTGTTTGGCAAAAGAGATTTTTCTGAAATATAAATAAAAAAACAGGATTCTCTGATTTCTATATCGGAAAAATAGATTCTTCTGAACATTTTATATGAAAAAGCAATATTTCTGAGTTCTAAACAGGAAACATTGCGTTTATGAGTAATAGCGCAGAAAAAAATTCCAGAATTGTAACTAAAAAAAAAATCGATTTTTTTCTGAGCATTTCATAGAAAATAACCATTTTTCTGTGCAACAAATTAGAAAAATCATTATTCGAGATTATTTAAAACCAAAATAGAAAAAAAAAGATTTTTCTGAGTAATAAATCTAAAAAATAAAAGTTCCTATAATTTTCATCAAATGTTTCTAGCTGTTCCTAATCCTTTGAAAAACCTTACTAAGTAGAAAGAAAATCTTTCTTGTCTATTCCAAACTCTTTTTAATCTTTAGAACTTTTCAAAATCTTTTGTAGCCTTTTAAAACCTTTCTAAATTTCGTCTATCTCCTTATAAATCGTTTTTAACTTATTCACACCTTTATCAAACTTTGTGAATCCTCGAGAAACGTTCGATACCTTTTGGTATTCTTCTGGCGTTAATAAATTTCCAGGATGCCTCAGAGCCTTTCAAATTCTTTTTAAACTTTTGAGAACCTTTTGAAACCTTTGTAAATATTTCCAAATATTTACTTGTCCTTTCAGAATCGTTATCAATCTTTGTCGATCTTTTCAAATCGACTCGAATTTGATATCAAACTCCATAAAAGCAATTCCGTTTAACGAGTAGTCGATTCGATATCAAATCTTTAAAGTTGGATTATTCTGACATTAGGTATGACCTGTCAATGAGGTTAAATAATAAGCCTGTGGTTTAAAATTTTAGGGAAGAAAGGAATTTAGTTTCCAGGGCATACCTATGTCTCTGGTAATGCCTTTTCTGGATAACCTATCGTGCATCAGAGGTCTTTTATATCCTTAGAATATCAATAAATGGATTATTTATTATACAATATGCTACAAATTATAAACATTGATAGGTTCTCTTTATTCAGCTAAAAAAGTTCTCCACGACGATTTTCTGTAAGTTCAAAAGGATCGTTTCTTTTTTGTAACTCATCCTTTCTTTAGCCTTATAATAATAAATAAAAATATGTGATCCTTGCAACTCTGAATGCAGAGTTGTTTGTGCCCGGTGAGGGATGACTATTATTATTTTCCATGGCTCTCCGAGGCAACTTACAGATGTCATTTGAATTATAGATGAGGATACCCCTGAAAAACCCCACCCATAAGCATAAAAACTAATAAATAATTACAATTTAATTTTTGTTGTTTGGCGTTAATAGTCGTGAAACTCTGTTCTGTGTCGAGTAAATCGACACATAATTCGATCGAATTAAAAAAAACGATTCTATAACTCGATCTGTTTTGACTTCGGAAATCTTCGGAAATTCGACAAAATAATGAAGCAATCAAACTATTCTGACTTTTAAACGTCAAACAACAAAACTTAAATTGTATTTATTTAGTCTTGACGTTAATTATTTATGGGGTTAGAATCTTATGGGTGGAGTTCTTCCGTAGTGTTTTCATTTAAAATTTAAATGACATCTGTAAGTTGCCGCGGAGCGTTATGGAAAATAATAATAGTCGTTCCTTCTTGACAACAATTAAATTGTATTGTATTTGGTTTAGCCATAAGCTATAAGATTAATATTTTATTTTTTTATGATGATGGTTGTGGTTTGTTCTGGGTATCCTCATCTATAAGTTAAATGACACCATCTGTAAGTTCCATTGGAGCGCCATGGCAAATAATAATAATAATAATATTAATACGGTTGTCCCTCCCCGATATGCTATGCTTTCAGAGTTACAGGGATCACTCGTAATGGCGTAAATTGTAAAAAGATTAATATTTAATATTATTGTGCTTTGTGCTAAAGAAAGGGAATGACCTAAGGGAAAGAAGCGATCCTTTCGAACTCTCTGAAAATCGCTGTGGACAGTTTTTTTGGCTGAATAAAATTACCTACCTTTATTAATTTATATTTTATAGCATTTTATGTAATTAATAAATCCTCTTATTGATATTTCAAGTAGTATGCAGAGTCCCTACTATTTCATATAGGGACAGTGTTGATATTTCTTAAACGGTAACAGATAAAAGGTTGGTTACATAAGAGAAAAGTTACGCAGTTTTGTGCTCATTAAAATGGTGCCAAGAAACCTTTGATATCTATAGGGAAATTTAAAATATCGGACAAAAAATGAAAATTGTCATTTCTTAAAATTAATTCATTCGTTTTTTGTCAGATATATTGAATTTCTTTGTAGATATCTAGCACCATTTTAAGGTGATTACAGCACCCCCTTATAATTTTCAAACAAGGATATTTCAAAAAGTAATTTTTTTAAAAAATTAAAATTTTGGCAAAATATATTAGGCAATAATATCTAGAATATGCATATATTTTAAAATTTTAATTCCCTCCAGTTTCCGAGAAAAAAAAATCAAAGGGCTTTAAATTTTGAAATATCATAATGAAAATAAATGCATTCCTCAACAGCACTATTCTTAATATAATCCCTAAATTTAAGCTCTTAATCTTTTGTTAATGATTTTTTAAAATTCGCCGAAATTAGTGGCTAAAACGCCTTGTTAAGTACTATTTTCTGGTTTAAACTGGTGTAAACTAGTGTAAATCATTGCAAGAAATGAGTGATGACTTAGAGTGTACGATACGATAGTTACAGACGCGTTACACTAGAAAGAAGCACTTTACGAGGCGTTTTAGCCACTAATTTCGGCGAATTTTAAAAAATCATTAACAAGAGATTAAAAGCTTAAATTTGGGGATTATATTAGCAATACTGCTGTTGAGGAATACATTTATTTTCATTATGATATTTCAAAATTTAAAGCCCTTTGATTTTTTTCTCTCGGAAACTGGAAGGAATTAAAACTTTAAAAAATATGCATATTCTAGATATTATTGCCTAATTTATTTTGTCCAAATTTAAATTTTCTACAAAAATTACTTTTTGAGATATCCTTGTCCGAAAATTATAAGGGGGTGCTGTAATCACCTTAATAATCACAAAACTGCGCAAATTTTGTAAAATTCAACCAATACTGTCCCTGGCCCACGAGCTAGTAGGTACCTATCTAATTGGGAGGATGGACAATGGGCCTAGTAAGGCCTAAATGTCATGAGTTAACCCAACCTCGACACGTTACAGATACAGATACTGACCCTATAATATAGTAATGACCCCGTATATACTTAATAGAGACAATAAGGCCCTTAATGCAAGGAGAGGTTATTTAGAAAAGACACATTGCTGCAGGAAAGGTTCATACCTAATGTCAAAAAAATTTAACTTTAATGATTTGATATCGAATCGATTACTCTAGAGTTATCGAGTTATTTGATCGAGTTTATTGTCGAATTTCGTTGAACGGAGATATCCGAAGTCAAAATAGATAAAGACGATAGAATCGCTTTTCATAATTCGATCGAATTATGAATAGTATCGAGATCGAGTTACTCGACACAGAACGGCATCCCACCCCTCTGCCAACCAAAAAATTTTGGTAACTATATAATAATTCGATAATCTTTGACAGGCGTTCAAGCTTGCTCTTATCCAGGAACCACCATAAGCGGAAGGATGTCTTCGGTGAAATTCTTCTACAAAATCGGTGAGAATATAACGTTTACGTGCGAAGAAGGACTCTTGCTCAAAGGGGCGGCCATGCTGAAATGTCTCAAAAACGGTAAATGGTCCAATACCATTCCGACATGCTCCTCAGAAACTTCTGAGAGTCCCAAACAAATATCTGTATTTTAAACAAAAGTAGAGACCTACGTGGTTAATATTTTGCATATCTTTAATGGAAGAATGTGGATGTATCGGAAGATAAGTGGATTCTACTTCATGTTTTATGACCAGCGAGTATTTGAGAATCATGAACGGGATTTCTTGTCGTTTATACAGGAAGTACGATATTTTAAAATACAATGTATAATTACATTGTTAATCATAATCAAAATAATATATTGTAAGTAAGTAATACAATCAAAATCGTAGATTAAAATATATATATTTAGTATTTTAAAATAAATCTTTAATGTCCGTTTGTACTAACCTGTTTACTCTTTTTTCTCGAGTTTCTGTCCTAAATTATGTCTTGTTTCTGTATTTTAGCCGTGTTTAACCATTTTTTGGTTTACTTGTTGCAAGTAGCCAGTTCAAAGCATTTCCAGACCAGCTTTTATTTAACTCTTTAGTCAAGACTTTTTTCCAGGGCTCATGTGATTTATTTTTCTACAATATTGTAGCCTACCTACTTTTTGTATTTGACCTTGGATCAACCCGTGGTTTTTAAAAAAACGCATATCTTTTTGCGATCCAGTGTTTCGATGTCGCACAGTATGTGTTTGGATAATATTGGTTCCTTGTGACAAAGTCGACGCTCATTTTGTTCAGGTGTCCCTTTACTGGAGCATGCCCAGTCAAGAATCCAAAAGTCCGGTAATTATTTTCAACTAGTTCCTAGTAACAAAGAGTATTTTTTGGTACTCCAAGGTTTATATCTGGTTCCGGTATTTCTTCTGACTCTCTTTTCGAAATTCGTCAGTCTTGTGCACCCTAGATCCCTTCATAACTTGGCACCAAAACTAGTTTTACTCTATTTCGGTCTGTTTTCAGTTCTTCAATGCAATCCCTTACCTGCCTCGACGTCACTTTCTGGATCGATATGACCTTTATAGTCCAATTAAATAACGAAAAAAAGCCCCTTCGAACTTACATTAATTTGTAATTGGATGAAACAAAGTGAACCTTATGCATTTTGATGTGATCTTTCCGAAAAAAAGCAAAAAAAGATGTAGCTGTTGTTCAATTTTTTTTAAATTAGGAAAAACCGGATTGTCCGGAATTTTCCATGCTAAAAATGCTAATTATCTGGGCAAGAATCATTCCGATAGTAAAAATAAATGCACCAATCGAAAGAGGAGGCAAAAATAGTTCGGAAATTCATTGCACAGGTAGTTTTAATGGCAAATTTCTCGCCGCCAGAAGTGCTTTTACCAAAAAGTTGTTTTTTCGTTTCTTTAATCAGAACCATGGACATGAAATTTTCGATGAATTTGTGACGAAATTATAAATGTTAGACATATGTGCCCATGAGAGAAGTTGCGTATTTTTTTGTTGGCTCTCAAATAAATTAAGTCCCGCGGCGAAATGTGCCATAATTTTTCGGGAATTCGCAGGAAACCGAAAGGCGTATTTTTTTTTAAATTTGTTCCCATATGATTTTTTCCGGGTTTTTCGAAAACATCTAACAAAAAAATATATTTGAAAAAACTAACACGGTTATTAAAAATCTATGCCGATGAATACTATCAAGCGATTGAATTTGTAATAATTAGACCGTTTGAAGTTTGAACTTGTCGGATAGCGAACGCCGAGACCATGGCTATCCTTGATGCGACGTACGGCTAATTTTGCGATAATTCTATATTTTGCACAAAACTCAAGGAACATCTTATAACAAGTCAGTAAAACACAGATTAATAAATTTTAAGCCTAATAAATTTAGGTATGTAAGAAATTTAAAACTGGAAATCGCAAAAAAATCAAATTACAGAAATGCAGTGTATACACGAGTTTTGGATCCCGCGGAGCGCGTGTAATGGGACTTTTGTCGGGAGAATTCGACAACTTAGAAAAAACATACTTACTTTAAACTTTATGTACACATTCAGAAGACATGAAATTTGGGTTTGCTCAATTTTCAGAGCAAAAAACTGAAAATCGTCAATTTTAGGCAACTTTTCTCAAAAACCGTGTTTTTTGGTCGTCACTCAATGAACAGTGGTCAAAAAAATAGATAAAATATCTTTGCAGAATTTTCCGTAATGTAATCGTATTTAATACATAATAAAGTACTCAAAAAAAAAGTTTTGAGCCATTGGGTGCATTTTTGTGCCATTTCAAACTTTCGAAAACAAATTTAGTTTTTTTTAGGGAAAAAAATTTGTTTAATTGTTTGATATCTTGGCCAATTGTAGTCCAATTTTGGTGAAATTTACAAATACATAAGATTTCACATTCAAAAATAAGCTCTATAAGTGGCATTAAAAAAATTCAAATAATTTGGCCGTTATAGGCAAACAATGAAATTAGGCCCGCGGTACAATTTGCCCTTCCGTCATATGCCCAATTTTGGAATTTCTCTTGCTTCCTTCTGGGAATCAATAGTCACATCCCTTAAGTTCAAAACGCATTTTTGTTTTATTTAAATATCTTAATTTTTACTAAAGTTATGAAGAATTTAGTGTTTGAACATTTAACAAATTCAATTGAAGGGTGTCCGGTTCAAATAGGCTAAGTGCCAAAATTAAAAAGCCGAGATATTTTTTAAAAACAATTTTTTTTTCAGGCCGTTTTGCAAAAGGTGCTATATACATTAGTTTAACTTTGATATTTTATCAGAACATACTAAAATATCATTTTAATTTAATTACCCATAAATATATTTCTTTAAATTTTCCGAAATTTTCATAAAGGGGAAAAAACATTTTAGAAACATGTTAAGTGCCACATACGAAAAAAGTTAAATAAATAAAATAAAAGACTAAACTCATTCAAACTAAAGATAACCCTTTATTTAACAACAAAATAACAAAAAAGTAAACATGTTATAATATTTAAACTTATTTTAATAGCAAATTTCGATAGAATTCCCTATGTTGTTCTTTTTCAAAAAAATCTATCATTGACTTCAATGATTTTTTTTTGTTTTCTGATATCTTGCTTTCTGGGGCTAAAAGCTTCAAGTTTACGTTTCTTATATCGTTAATAGTTTTCTTTTTTTTTAGAACGTTTATCTTGTGCGTAGGTTCGATATCGCTAAAAGAGTACTTTACCTGTACTACAGTGGGACTTTCTTTATCGATACAAATCATACAGCCTTACTAATATTTAGTTTTTTAATGTCAATGAGGTTTTCCGCTGCCTCTTTAAGATCCCAGAATCCATAACATTCCATATCTATAATTTCAAAAGGCGGATGATATTTCGCAGATCTAATAACATCATGTAAATCTTGAGGAATCATGGCTTTCATTACTTTTTTGCGCTTTTCTATAAGCGCAAAATCACGGTCACATGACATAAAAGAATGTCCACTAACCAAACATTTATGCTGAATATTTTCAAACACTTCATGAGTGACCAAAAAAATAAACAAGAAAATCATAACTTTATTCTTATTTTGGCCTGCGCAGTTGTCAGTCCAAAAGACAAGGCGTTTCTGTTCAACTAGAGAACTATTTAAAAATCTAAGTATACAAGAAGAAATCTCATTGCTTCCCCTTCCAGCCATTCCCTCGTTCCAGTTGCACATATATGCAGTGTTTGAGTTGCTACAATGGATTCCCATGTTATAACAGCTAAGTTGACTCAAATAAAACATATCGCTGTGTGTTAAGGTAGGTACAAAAAGAACCTGTTGTAAATCTACCGACAAACAACATGTCTGAGCTCCAGGCAACTGTGATGCAGCCACATCCTCCTTCATTAAGTTTATGGCTTGTTCCGATTTTCGATGATGAATCTCCAGTTTTTGACGTGCTTCTAGGCTTGAGGATAGCTCTGCTTTTATTTCACATGTTAATTTGTCGCAAACTCTACATGTGTCACTCCTTGGTGGACGAAATTTTAAATTAGGAAATTCTTTTAGAAATACCTTGCGGTAGAAGCGAAATGAACAGTTTTAATCCGGATATTTTTCAATAAAAGCCTTATGTAATCGGTGTGTATTAAGTTCAGGACTGAGATATTCTTTAGTAGTTTGCGATCTCGAATAATGACTTTCTTGCCTGGGTAAAGAGGCAATATGTCTTATTACCATATTTCGATCATCGTCGGTAAATTTTTTTAACTTATGGGATGTTCGGTTATCTTTAAAAGTAGTGTGCCCCAGGTTTTTCTTTCTTATTATTGTCTCAAGTTTCATTTTCGTCAATGAAAAAATGTCCATAAATGTTTGTTTGCAAACTCTTAGCGTCTGCCCCGTTCCATCAGGAATAGAATAAAAGACAGTACCTTGATGATGACTGTCCGCTGGATCCTCGTAGTTACCATGACGTCTCCTTCTCACTGGTCCCAGGCTTAAAAGGTTCATAATAAAAGTTCCTTGTACGTTGGAAGTTTCATTGTAAAATCTTTTGTGTAAATCTAGCTTTCTTTCATAAGTAACATTTTTACAGGAATGGTAGCATTTACACGATACCTGAAATTAAAGAAAATATTATAGTTCTAAGTATTTAGGTATATTAAGGTAAGTATATTGAATAAATAAAATGTGATTTTATGAACCAACACCTTTTGTATACCTTAATATACTACTTTATTCCATGCATTTAACTTACCTCTTGTTTAGGTTCTGCCTTTTTGGGTGTTTTTTTATTACGCCGAGTTTTATATTCCAGTCCTGCCACTTTTAATTTTTTTTGTTCATCCCTGAAGCGACCAGTACCTCATTTTCTTTTATTCTCCATCACAAAAAGTTAAAAACATCAAACACTTGCCCACTGAATTAAAGATTATTTTCCAATAATCAATAAATACTTCTGTGGCACTTAGATTATTTGTACTGAAACGTCATGTCATTTTTGAACCACGCCAACTTTACAATTTTTTTATAACCTTTCTAGTCAAGCTTGGCACTTAGCATTTTTGTGGGACATACCTAATGGTATATATATAATGTTTGTATCGACAAATCTCAAAATTTAAAATTTTGGCATTTTGGCATGTTTGAACCGGACACCCTTCAATTTTTCGACTTTTGCCTCCTCAAAATACTAAACAAATTTCAATCGTCCATACCGCGAGAACGGTGCATCGGATTAAAATTTCTTAAGAGACATGAAAATTAGCATTTTTTCTAAGTTTTCAAATGTCATAAACTGCGTTTTGAAAATATTGATTTATTTCCGACATGCGCCTGCGCAAAATTGAAAAATTGACAAAATTTAAAATTTCGGCATTTTAGAAAAGCAGCTACATTTTGTTTTGTCTTTTCTCGAAAGGATCACCTCAAAATACATAGAATCCATTTTGTTTCATCTAATTACAATGTAAGCTTAAAACCCATAATTTAATTCGATTATTATGGCAGTCTGCCTATCTGACATCATTTGTATCTGCTTATTGTCGGTAACACTTCATGTTTATTCTTGCACATTGCAAGACTGCATAAATCTCAGCCTGAAATTCTGAAGTATGTTCTCCTATTGCATAGCTAAGGTTGATGGTAGGGTTTTTTGGAGAATACTTTAACCCC